TACAGTCATCTGTATGCTGGGCATCAGCACTGCTTTAACTGGATATTCCGAGGTAAGCACAAAACCTGTTCTTGTAGCTATAGGCATATAGAAATTCGTACATAGGGTGTAGACTATTCTTAAGGAGTGGTCAGAATTTTGGATCATTCTGTTTATATTCTATTGTCTTTGTGTATGTGACATGTATTATCGGAAAATAATGCCATTGAGGCGTTTTGGACACATCAGAATTTTGACTAAGGATCACATGATTATTTTCCCCTTATACAAATACACACCTCAAGACTAGATTTAGTTTTAGTGCTGGTATTTGTGTTATACTCATGATCATGCTTTCAATCTCTATTCTGGTGTGTGGTGTCCTCTGTGCCTTATTCCCTGTATTGTGGGTTTGCCTACCAGTGTGTAGGGCAACACTGCCCAATAAGTAGATCTCTAGATGTTGTAGAACTACAACTCATGTGATGCTTTGTCATTCTAAAAGGCATGCAAAGCATCATGGGAGTTGTAGTTCTACCATATCTGTATAACTGCCGATTGGGCAACCCAGATGTCTGAGATTTTGCTCTCAGCAGCTGCTATGCATTAATTCATGTTTAAGATTAAAGGAGCCCGAGTACTATCACTAACCACAGCTATTACACTAAATGTTCTAAATATATATATATTCAGCCTCTGCCAGGCTCTCACAGATCTTATGAAAGACCCTCCATCTACTTATGATTTAGGGATGGACACATCCCCAGTTAAGGTAACGGTGTCCTATTGATATTAACCTTTTATATACTAAATCCCACACTGTTAGTATCATGTATCCAACATATATCTGGTTTCTTGCACCAATAAATACCCGCCAGGTTATTTTACAATTGCTTTTGCAAATACTTCACACAATACTGTATCTGGTGCTTTTATTTGATTTTGATGTACCAACCATTGCCTGTTAGTGGTTTATGAACCAAAGTTTCATCCCTTTGCCCTGCTGTCCTCTACACTTAGTCAGTACCAAAATTAAATTATAGTGTCCACTTTACACCCGGTAGCCAAGCCTTTAGGACAAAGGGTTGCTTAAGTTATAACATTTGTTCCGCAGTTGTACTGTACGGATAATACATTTCTGTAACACGTGTCCAGTGCAGTGAAATCACTGTAAAAGAATCAATATAGAGTCATAGTCAGGGGAAAAGGGAGTAAAAGAGAAACAGATGTATGTTCACCCTAGACTTACAGTGGAGAGTAGTGATGTCCCGAAAGGTTCGCCGCGGACTCATCATTGAAAGCATCCATTTTGAAGCTGCATTCTTAGTGAGCTGTCCAGGAGCTGGGAGGGTCTGGGAGGGAGGGTCTGCTGCTGATTGGCTGGAATGTGTCTGCTGACTGTGAGGTACAGGGTCAAAGTTTACTCAATGATGAGTCCGCGGCGAACCGTTCGGGACATCACTAGTGGAGAGTCTTTAATAATAGGGCAGTTTCTTCTAGTAACTGTGATATCCTTAACTACAGACATTCCAAAAATACAGCTCTACAACAAATCTACTCACATAATGTGTAAAATATCCGCAGGATACCTGTGGAAGGAAGGGGGTTATTTCATGGTGAAGAAGCGGTCACCTATATCTGATTTTGCAGCAAGGTATACATTTCAACTAACAGTGCTTCTCTGATCATTTTCAGGTGTTATTCTGCTGTGATCAAGGTTGGCTGCTCCGTGTGGCTCATATTCTTGTAGGCACTACATGTATCTCAATCACTGCTTGTACTATTGTACTGTCAGAAAGCAAACTGATCCACTTTATCCGTAGCCATTTCCTGGCTGGCCGTTCCAAAAAGGGTGTTTAATAAGGGTGGAAACTGGACAATGCCGTGTTATACTGGGTGTGTTTACCGAGCTATCTCTCCTGTGGATGTAAGAATGTGCCAAGTGAACTGAACTCAAGAACTAAAAATCACCACGTGTCATTGTTCTTCCTTACTTGGGGTCAGCAAACTCTAACTTTGCATACAGTGATGATAAAACAGAGTGTAACAGAAACAACTGATACAGTAGGTTGTCAGATCCTTGCCTACAGACACAGTGCATCATAAGATACAGACTATCCACGATTACAGTGGATCAAAACAGCTGAAAGACATTGACTATATTGTAGATATTATGGTGAAAGTTTTTGAGGGTGAATTTTAAGGGGGAAGGGTTGAAATCCATTTGTGAGTTTTTTTAAATATGTGAACAATGCGGGTTAGAAGCGTGTGGCTGAGGTGGACAGCCTTCATTCATAAGTAGAACAATGCGGGTTAGAACAGTGTGGCTGATGAGATGGGTCCACAAAGAAATTTTAAAGATCTCATTTGGGTGTCAGGAAGGTGAGTAGAAAAAGCTCTCTTCAGTACTCAAGACAATAGATGGTGACAGAGTGAATGTGTATGCTATCTTGGGTGAGAGAGTGACATGTTAAAGTGGCTCTGTCACCTTCTGGGGTCTTTGTACATTTTGCAAAGACCCCCGATGGTGACATCGATGCTCAGGCTGTGGTGGCCCATGGGTGCAGCCATGGTGAGTTGTCTTCTTTCTCCAAGTCCTAGAGCTTCAGAATTATGAGATCTTTTGACTGTGTTGGAATTTCAATATGTTTACATTGTAGTTACATTCATTTTACTTAGGGATACTAAAATTTTGTATTAACTGAATTTCTCCTACTTTAATGGCAATTACATTGTTTGGGGTTAATTTGCTGGTGGTGTTCTGTACGACTCAGTGCACTCTTTAGTCCAAATCATTGGTCATTGAAATAGAGCAATTCCAAACCACACGTTCTTCATTGGGGAGACTTGAATAATTCAACATTAGTATGAGACAAAATTGCTGACATTTATCTTTATGGTAATTACATAGTTTGGCTTAATATTTGTTGATATTGTACTATATAACTGAATGCAGTCTTTCTAATTTAAAGGACAACTATAGTGCCAGGAAAACACTCGTGCTGCCCCCACCCTCAGGGTCCCCCTCCCGCCGGGCTCTGGGGGAAGGAAGGGGTTAAACTTACCTCTTTCTCCAGCGCCGGGCGGGGAGCTCTCCTCTTTCTCTCCGCCTCCTTTCCTCCTCTTTGGCTGAATGCGCATGCGCACCAGGAGCTGCGCGCGCATTAAGTCAGTCCATAGGAAAGCATTCACAATGCTTTCCTATGGACGCTGGCGTCGTCTCACTGTGAAAATCACAGTGAGAAGCGCGGAAGCCCTCTAGCGGCTATCAATGAGACAGCCACTAGAAGCTGGATTAACCCTAACATCAACATAGCAATTTCTCTGAAACTACGTTTATAGAAAAAAGGGTTAAACCTAGCTGGACCTGGCACCCAGACCACCTCATTAAGCTGAAGTGGTCTGGGTGCCTATAGTGGTCCTTTAATGGTACATTCCTGGGCCTCTAAAATAGAGGAAACCCAGTTACATGTAAAGGACAACTGTCATCAAACTTTGACTTTTTCCCCGAAGTTTATTACATTTAATGAAACTTAATGATCTGTTTTAATGATTTTTATTGAATTTTGTGAGAAATGCTGCTTTTTTTAATCTAGTTGAGCGGCCGTTTTGGTTCAGATTATACAATTCTCTACCCAACTGCTGCTAAACCTAGCAGCTGTTTTCTGTATAAATCCTTGTCTGTGGGGGCAGCTATAGCTAAGTTCTCTTGTCAGAAATAATGCTTATCTGACCAAAAACCATGCATACAATTAGGAATAGAAAGGAAGCAGGAAATCAGTATCTTATGGAGCTTGAAATACGCTCCAGTTAGATTTGTAAAAATAATATATATACATATACACACACATATATATATTTTTTTTTTTTTAAATATTCCTCACTTGATGATGAGCTAGCCTTGGGCAACCAAAAGTAATTTTATTATTGGTGGCTGTGCTACCAAGCAAAATGTGCACTGTAATGATTTGAATTTAAATATGAAGAATCATCATTTGAATTGTTCTAAATGGTCTCAATGCAAATTTTGTGAAATAAAAATATAAAATAAAAGAATGGCTATTATGTAATTACACAAATACAACACATTGTAAATGTAATCAGAAATGTTTTTTTTTGTGCTTGAGCAGAGAGGATTCTAATGGCTTAATGTGCAGACCTTTTTGGTTTTGTCATGACTAAAAGGAAATATATGGCATGTCTTGGTCCCTTTAAATATTGAAAAGGGAACTGGAATTGGTACACCTGGCTGCCCAGGCCACACGTGGAGCAGCAAAACTGCTGCAGGTGCATCTGCGCCAGGGCCCATCAGGTGGCCCAAGCATTTAGGGCCACCCGATGAGCCCTATATCTACAGGGGCCCGGTCAGCGCTGCGGCCGTGTAATAGTGCGGCCAGGCCCCTTTAAAAAAAATAAATAAATTGCAGCTGCACCGTAAGTGCTCCTGGGAGGAAGTGACGGCCGGTCACTTCCTCCCAGCTTACTCCACGCGGGAGGGAGAGACAGCCGAGGAGAGGCATCTGCTCCCATCATCCCCAGCCACACTCCTGCAACGAAAAGGTAAGTAAGAGGAGGGTGGCTGATAAATGAGGTGTGTGTATATGTATGTGTCTGCATGTATGTATATATCAGTATGTATGTATGTGTGTGTGTGTATGTATGTGAGTATGCATGCATGTCTGTGCGTATGCATGTCTGTATGTGTGTATGTCAGTATGTATATGTCTATTAGTGTATGTGCGCACGTATGTATGTCTGTGTTTTATGTCAGTATGTATGTATGTATGTGTGTCAGTATGTATGTCTGTCTGTGTGTATGTCAGGATGCATGCACGTGTGTGTGTGTCAGTATGTATGTATGTCTGTGTGTGTACGTCAGGATGCATGCACGTATGTATGTATGTCTGTGTGTGTGTGTGTGTGTGTACGTCAGGATGCATGCACGTATGTGTGTGTCAGTATGTATGTCTGTGTGTGTCAGGATGCATGCACGTATGTATGTCAGTATGTCTATATCAATCTGTATGTTTATGTGTGTATGTATGTCAGTATGTATATGTGAGTATGTACATATGTCAGTGTGTGTGTGTGTGTGTGCGCATCTCCTCTATGTCTGTGTCCTTTTGTGTCTGTCTGTCTGTGTGTGTGTGTGTGTGTATTCCTGTGGGTGGGATTTGGAGGCGGGCAACTAGGGGGCCCAGACCTTGAGCTGTGCTAGGGGGCCCACAATTTCTGATGGTGGCCTTGGCTGTGTGCACTCCAGTTACAAAACAGGCTGGACCAATTCGCCAGTTCCGAGCACATGTGTGTACTCCAGACTGGCGAGGGAGAGACTGGAAAGAGTTAAAAGAATATAACCCTAAAACTTAGGTAACCCACTGCTAATATCAATTCTGATATTAGAAATGGGTTTTACTATATAACACAGTAGATAGTGGTATATTGTCACCATCTACTGGCCGTTTTCAGAATTACATTTAGTAAAAATGGCCCCAGCTGACTTACAGGAACTCCAGATATCCATTGAGACCTGGGGTTAGTGGTGTGAGTATGGGTGTAACCCAGCTCACAAGTGTAGCGGAGCCCTAGTCGTAGCAGTGACTCTTTTCCGCCGGATCCACCAAAGTACAATCAAGAACAAGAAAAAAACGCCCCCAAAAAAATATCCCACCTCCTCCCCAGCAACTGGTTGATACACAGTTCTGGGAGTACAACTGAACTTTATTTGGTCACACGTGGCTTTTATGCCCAGTCCCCTACAAGGGGTTTACAATACAATTAAACAGGGGTTTCAATCCAAGGATCCTTTGTGCCTGAGAGATAATTGCGTGAGAAAAACCCTCTAATTATCTCTCAGGTACAGAAATCCAACAAAATATACTGTGCCCCCACCATACATAGGAAACCCCCACAAAAAGTACATTCCCCAATAGCCCCGATCTGAGTGTATAACATATCCAAGAATCATTAAGATCGGTTCAGTGAAACAGAAATGCCATTGGGGTAAAGTTTTGACCGGCCAGGCACGATGCGCTAGCCCAAAACAGTTCCAGGGAAGTAGGTGCCCTGGAAGGTCTCCGTTCGTGAGGTTCCTGTGCGAACACCATCCAAGGGAATCTCTTCATTTCAGTATACGAATGCTCCCCCCAGTAGTTCATATCTCCCGAACGTCGTTCATATAGGTGGTCTGGAAGTAGAACGGGCAGTGGTATAAGTTTTACTGGTGTTCGCACGAGTGCCTAGCCGAAAAGGGTTCCCAGCACTCGATGACCAAGTACCGCTGCCCACGTTTGGGAGACCAGATGGCCATCGTTCTTTTGTCTGCCACGAATTTGGTTATACAAAATGGCGGCCACTCTGGGGAGCATTCATTAATTACTTCCCTTGCGGTTTCGCACTTAAGTGGTTGGTGTCAACATTCTAATGGGATACAGGGGTGGTCCATGTTCGGGAGATGAAGTCTCCCGAACGGAAAAAGGGTGAAACATGTTAAATCAAAAGGGAAAAGTATAGGAATAGGTGTAGGTTCCGTCACAAAAGTATTTAGAGTTCTCCATTCTGCTACAACAATGCAATCTCTATGTAGGCATTTAAATTCCTATTTAAAGAGCTGTTTGCAGCAATGGCTTCCAGCGTGGAAACAGCTCACCTAATACTTTGGACCACTCAAAATTGCCCAGCAGACAGGTATCCATGGATTTAATGTGTAAAAAAAAAAAATCAAGTGAAACTAGGGTGCTAAAAACTATTAGCAAACTAAAGCCAATATAAAAGCTGCACCATACAATGTATATAAAGCTCTAAACACATGTACCCATATTAACAACAGTAAAGTTCACTGTGTCTTTAAGACTATAATTTATTACTATAGACTTCAAAGTGCAATATAATATGCACGAAAAGTGTAACAGGTAAAATCATAAAATACAAATAAAGTGCACTGTGCCAAAAATGTGCTAGTCCTGTGCTAACAACCCTCTGAAACTCTCTAGTCCCTTTGGTTCAGCCTCTAACACAATAGCGATACGTCCCATAGACAGCAAAGTTTTGAGATTTATAACCCCCTTTGCCTAGCGAGGCCCAAACAGCATATGACTACATGGGACATAGTCTTTGATGTTTATCCTTTAGTATAACTCAGAACATAACCACAAAAACTTCAGTTCATAGTAGGTGGCACAGATAGCAGTTTTATCTTAATGAGATGTACATGTCTCCGCTTACAACAAATGTTTGCATGTCCTGAAATCTCATGCCTGTCAGCTGAATACAAAAATAAAGAATTAAAAAAAAAAAAAAAAAAAAATTTGGCTTGTAAAAGCTTCCGTTCTCTTGTCTACAACCTTTGCAAGCCCTCCTCTTCTAACCCTGCCCAGACTTGCTGTGGCTGTCCAATCACAGACTTTACAATGCAGCTCAATGTGAAGTCTTTGCAAGGCAGGTGCCCGCCTGGGCAATTGCTGCCTCTTGAGTTTAGCTCCACTGAGCTGACCAAACTAGGAAGTATAGGATCATTCAGCTGTCTTGACAGCCAGGGTGGTGCAACATGGTTTATTTACAAAAGTGATAATTTCCTCTAATTACATTAAACCCCGAATTTTCTGTAGGATGCGTGAGAGAACATGTTTTGTTTTGTTTTGTTTTGTTCTGTTCTACCTATTTTTTGCTGTACTATTTTTAAGTAAAATCTTGTTGCCTTATCCTGCTCTACTTGTGACCTTAATGCTTGTCATTTTCCATCAAATCACAACAATAAAAGTGTTTAAAACCAAAACCAAACGTTGATCAGTTGTTCTGATATCACTTCTCGTGGCTCTGTTGACAAAACTGCGGGTTGAGACAGATTCTTGTTCCTGGGGGACCATTCCAATTACAGTACAGAGTATTCTACTTGCTACTACAGTAGAGAGCCGACTTATATGGCTCTCTAAAGTGTGAGTGCTCCTAATCATTTTTTATACCAGTTATTGGTTTATGCATATTGCCCTACGATAGCTGTCTATGTTACAGATTATCTTATCAAGCATCCATTGTGTGCGCAAAACCACCTTTTCCTGTATCCATCTGTACTAATGTAAGTGTTTTTAAGGTGACTAAAACACTGGTTTGGTTTTAGACGCATTGGGATTTGCCATTTATTATCTATTTACTGTTTAGCGCCACTTATCCTATTGTTTGTGTTTGTAAAACCAAAAGTACCATTTTGTATCTGCACTTTTTGTAATATGAAAAAAAAGGAGGACACACTCTTCATACATAAAGCAGTTCAGCAAGCTAACCCTTTAAAAGCTGGCAAATTAAAGGGACACTGCAGGCCCCCAGACCAATTCAGCTCATTGAAGTGGTCTGGGTGCCGACTCCAATCACCCTTAACTCTGCAGTAGTAATTATTGCAGTTTTCATAAACTGCAATAATTACCTCTGAGGTTAACTCCTCCTCTAGTTGCTGTCTACCAGACAGCCACTAGAGGGACTTCAGGAATTGAAACAGACTTTTGGACCATTATCTGACGCTGGACTTCCTCACACTCTGCATGAGGACCTCCAGCGTCAGATTTTACCCATAGGATAGCATTGAACAATGCTCTCCTATGGGGAGATCCTAATGCGAGAGCGGCTATTGCCGCACATGCGCATTAGGTCTCCCCCACGGCAAGTGCGTGAAAGGATTATTAACCCCTTCAGTGCTGCGGAAGGGGGCCTTGGCAGAGAGGAAATCTATAGGGCCAGAAAAACTAGTTTGTTTTCCTGTTGGCACTATAGAATCCCTTTACTGTAACATTTAAACTGAGTAAAAAATTTTTTTTAAATTTCATTTGTTAGTATAGATCAGTCTTCCGCAAACTCTGGCCCTCCAGATGTTGCTGAACTCCAACTCCCATGATTCTATGAATGAAATAGATACGCTGAGAATCATGGGAGTTGTAGTTCAACAACATCTTTAGGGCTGAAGTTTGGGGAAACTAGTTTGTTTTCCTGCTGCACTATAGAATCACTTTACTGTAACATTTAAACTGCGT